AAAAAAATAAAAATAAAAAAGTAGTTCTGTTAAGTTTTAAAAATACATTATTTAGTATCATAAAAATGTTCCAAGATTAAAAGTGTTGGAAAAAAATTCAGTCCAGAATGAATGAAGTATTCAAATACTGCAATTGTTGCTATATACACTACAGCATGCACGCACATACAACCGGAGAATGTCTCTGTTCATTTGCAACCCAAATAATTACCCAGTAATTAACACATGGTTCATATAAACATGTATGCCAGTATCAATTAGGTTTCCTTTCTTCAACTGTGAAAGAAAGTTTCATTCTTGCCCAGTGACACATGCTTTCAGCCAAATGTAAAAGTTGCAATACAAAAAATTGTCTTCTGATCTAGCCTGAATAGAAAACAATGCAAGGAGGAAAAAAAGGAGAGTTCGGTCAGATGTGCATCCAGACATTCCCCCTCTGTCCTGTCCAGCATTCTGCTGTGTGATTTGTAGCATCACATCCAGTCCTTTTTCCCCCATTCCCTCTTAATATGCCTCATATGTCAGGATGCCCACAGTCAGCAATGAGTGCCAGAGCTGCTTTAAAAGGCAAAGACCCCGAGGTTCGCTGGAAAGCGTTGGAAGCTCTCATCCCTCAGAGCTACCTTGAATGCCACTGTCACCCTCAGGGAGACACATGACATTAACTCAGGGATTCTGAGTATTAATTGCATGGATCTCACAAAACCTGTAACTGTAGGGAAATGTTTCGAACCTCCAGAATTCCAAAGATTTTCCACCATAGTTCTACGAAGTTGCTGTTATTTCCTGATTTGGATTTATTCACAGTTAGTAATCAGGATTCTCCTCACACATTATATTTCCTGAATAGCAAAGTTTCTCTCTGCAAGCTCAATCTAGTGAATGTCAAAGCATAGAACCCTGATGAAATGTTAAACAAAGCAAGAGATAGGCATTGACCCACAAAGCAGACGTGTAGCATCATTTAACAGGCTTATGGACAAAATGTATTTCTGAAATATTTCAGCGAGCATCTGCATAAAGCTGACTGTTGATGGGAACTAAAGCTGACAAAGGCATAACAACATAAAAATGCATCTGTGATCTTACCCTGTACGTACTTAAAGTGACAGCCCATCAGGGTATAATTATAATGTATTACTAATGGAATATTAATCAAACATTCATTACTCTAATTAGAAAAACTTGTCTTGAAAAGCAGTCTGACTTTTCACCTCTGAAACTGTAATTGACACACAAATGAATTTGACAGTCTTGATGACTATGGATCCTTAGTGGGAGAGATAATGTCTTTATCTTCCAACATTTAGCTTAACTGCCAGTTTCCATCCTCTGTATGTAAAATTCAAGTCAGCTTAGATGATCCCATGTGCTACTTCAACCTCTGTTAAGTACTACACATATATCTAACATGAGACAGAGATAAAACCTAGGCTATGTGCAGGTTTACCAAGGGGGAATTAAGTTTTTCTTTGAAAGAAACCTGGAATATCTCTCTACAAAGTAAAAAGTCAAGCCTGAAGTAGGATTTCAGTTATCCATGCACATTCAACTTTTTGAACCCTTTTTGTCCCTTCAAAAGTGTCATTTCTGTGCACACACAATGTCTAAACCCCCACAAATATTAACCACACACAAAGGAGACCAAGTAGCTGTATAAAGTCTGCCTTTCAAACGATTCATGTTGAAAAGCAAAGCATTTAGCAGATAACATTGTCAAGTGCAATATCCCAGCAGGTCTCAAAGTTGAAAAAAAAAAAGAGAAGTGATCTTTGTGCTCATGTATTGACACAATCCAATGCCTGCTTAAGGAAATGACAGACACTACATTCACAGTGTGAGCCACAGACTTCAATGAGGAGCAGGTCAGGCTCCTATGGATTATTCTAGCTATGCTCAACCATGAGATACTTTTAACAATAAAAATTTTATGTGTATACATTAGAGGCTTCACCAGGCTATGATGGATTATGTACAGGGTTCTCTTTATGCACCTTGCTGAAGATGTTGAAATCTGGAGCCGTTTAAGTCCGCTTTTTATTTCAAAGTGTGTTCTGATTTTGCCCAATCTAAGATCATAGAGTGTCTCAAGTTTGAAGGGATCAACAAATATCATCAAGACCAACTCCCTGCAGGACTACCTAAAACCAAATCATGTAACTAAGAGCTTTGTCCAGAAGATCCTTGAACTCTCACAGGCACAAAAGATACCATTCTGCCAGAAAAAAACTTGCAATAGTGCTTGACCTTACAGGATAGTTGGAAAATTTATTATAAATTGCAATTCAGACTATTGACAAATACAGTGGAGAATTAATTATAATTTAGAACAAGAAGTGTATTTTAATCTGTCTTGACTTCATCTACTAGGTAATTATTTGGGGAATATGCAGCATGTTACAGTTCATTTAGGACTGAAACATTTTTTTCAATGTTACTGTTCCAAATTACTGTGCTATTTTCACTTGTATTACCAGACATGGCCTGAAAGTAGGAAAAGTCTGTTTATCATATCTGAAACAGGAAATGCATTTGGAACTGATGTTATAAATAAGTGTCAATATTTGCAGATCTAAAAGCATAACTTTAAATTGTTTAATCTTTGTCCTTGGTTATATATCTTCATTATGCTATAAAATTAATTCAAATTATGTGTTCACTTGCAACAAAGTTGGCAAGAAAAACTCTGAAATTATCTGTACTACTTCAGTGTGATGTGATTTTCTGTTATGAGAAACAATTTTCCTGTGAACTCATTTCTCCTTGCTAAACTCAAGACTCCTTACTACCAAATAAATAATGACAATGTTGTTACTGCAGCAGGGATGGCAATATTGTATCGGTCACTGAGGAGGAGACAAGAGAACACACCTCATGTATTACTATGTCCTGACCTCCACAAATGATTTGCCAGTTGTGATATGCATTAAGACATTTCATACCCACATTCTGCTCTTGCTTTTCTCAGAGACTACTCTGAGGCTTCATGTTCTATGTGCTAAGCCTTACGGCCCTAAATTTCAAATTCATTCCTTAATTGGCTAAGGAAACTATTGTTAAGTGAAGACCTTGAGTTTTTTATTGGTTTGTTCTGGGTGTTTTTGTCTGTCTTTTCTTCCCTCCAGTTGCTGTATGTTCCACTGTCCAGACGATTAACTTCTATCTCCCTCTTCCTCAAAAAAAACCCAAAACCCAAACAGTCCAGGGTGAGGCAAATTCTAAAAAATCTCCAAATAGTAGATGCTGAAGAAAAGAAATTACATAACCAAAACAGGTTTTCATTTGGCTTTGTGTTACTCACATTTCCACCTACTTGAATCTAGCACTAAGTCAAATCCATTCCTGCTTTCATCCCACTTACCTCCCTGTAAACACACCAGTCACAAACCCAGTTTTCTGCACTTACCATCTACTGAAATAAACTCTGTTGCAAATACATTTCTGTTTTCTACCGAAGCTATCCAGCTGGTACACAAAGAGGAACAAGATCTAGTCTATTTAGATAAAATACACAGTTTTGAGGGGTTTTTTTCCCACTGTTTTTTGTTCAGTATATATTTTGTTTAATTTTGCATTTATTTATCAGCACAAACAGAATTATTTAAAAGTAGTTGTTAGATAAAGCATGACTCATTTGATCCTACTTTCAAAAAGTATTTGACCTAGCAATAAATACAAAAAATTAATCCTGCTTCTCAAAATATGTCCACGCAAACTCTAAGAAAATGCTTAACAAAATAACCATTAATACTATGTTTGCCACACTTAATTTTCCAGCACACACACAAACTTAGCTCCAGAGAGACTCCACTGAATTAATTTACTTACTTTAGGTGGTATATTGTAATGATAATAACAGAATCTATTAAAGAAGGACTACATGATTAGGCTCCATAAAATTGCAGGCAACAATCCATGACTAAGCTGCAAATTCAAAGGGGGAAGTGAAATGAATTTTTTTTCATTATTTATCTATTTTAAACAGATAAGATGTGCAGCACACATACTGATCAATGTATTTAAACATTTTCTTTCTAATACCATGGTTTAACTTTTACCAACACAAAAGACATAGCAGGTAGCTGAGCTTAATTAAAAAAAAAAAAATCATATTACAGATTAACAAACTGGGAAGAAACTAAGTATTTGAGTTACACACAGGTTTAGTATCAAATGTTGGGAAGACCCAGTTCATCTCCAGCATGATTTGTCATTGAAATTCAACAGGATCAAGAACTGTTTTTGTCCTCTTGATCACCAAATTAAGCATTTTCTGATGATTAAATAGTATGTGCTGAAAAAAAATTTTCCCCCTCCTCAAACATATATAAACAAAATAAATATATTTTTTTTCAAGAATCTCAGTGTCACACAAAGCCTACATTCAGCTTTGAATAATAACTACACGAATGTAAAGCAATTTGTTTGCATCCCCTAAAATAGAATGAATCATATCCACGACACCAAATTGTAGTAATAAATTACTGAGCTCTGCTAGTGGTGGGAAAAGCATTATCATATTAGATTTTGCAATTCAGATCTATTATAGGCATCTTGTATTTATTTATTCAGCCATATAACGCGATATACTAAATAACATATTGGCTACGTACACTCTGTAGAGGGCACATGTCTGCCTGCATCAATACTATTTCCTTTACCAAGAGTATGGAGTGTTTACTGTTATCAAAAATATGAGTGCAGTCTAACTGTGACACTGGTGCCCCCAAACTTCTGGTCAACCACCACGACTATGCAGAAAAACTGGCTAATAATACAGCCACTGAGTGACTACTCCTGAGAAGCAGACTTTGTGACAGCTGGGTCTGCCCTGTATGCAGTCAAGTGAGCACCACCGTAGTTCTGACTGACCTGGGCTTTGTGCAGTCTGCTAGTGACTTAAGACCCCAGGTCTATAAATTCTTGTTCTCCAGGCCACCCAATGACAATAGCTAGAGTGGCCTCTTCAGCCCTGAGATGTGAATGAGGAGTGCACTTACTGCCTTCAACACCTTCCAGAAAGGAATTCACCTTTCCTCCTTGAAGTCCTCATTGCTTCCACCAGAAAGGCAACAAAAACTCTTTAAAGTGTCCCATGTGCCTGAACAGCTAATCTCATCTTCTCTTCAGCCTAGAAAACCAAAGAGCAGGGAGAGATCAACATCAGGAATAAGGGAGTTTACAGGGATCTCATTCACTCACTTCTGTTCCCCTGGTGGTTGAGGAAAAAAAAAATCCCCATCAAAAAAATCAATCCTGACTTAAATTCAAAGTATATATGAGCCTGAAGAGGTAATCCACATCTATTGAGCATATTGCTAACGTGGGCAGTAGCTGCCATGAGCTAGATATGGAGGGAAAGATGAGTTCAGAGCAGTTTATGGTTAGACTAAACATTAAGGCAAAATCATCAGATAAAACTGAAATCATTTATGTTCTACAGTAGCACAAGGCTCTCATGTACATGTAAAACTAGAGTTAACCTGATGTTCATATTTTAATACAAATCAATAAAAAAAAACAAACCCAAAAAAACAAATTTATCAAAAGCAGGACACTGCCTCATTCAGCATCTGTTCAAACCCATATATATATAAATCAGCTGCAAGGACTCTGTATGCCAACAAAGCCAGAAAGGCTAAACTAGATCTGGCAAACTCATCAATTAATTAATTAATTAATTAACTATACCACAAATAATCAGTGATCCCAGGTCTGTATAAAAACAAACAAGAATCACAGTTGCACCAGGAAAAAAAAAAAATCGATGTACAATTTATTAATCGGTATCTCTTAATTTGCAATAAAATAAAATACTGGGGTTTTCTGCGGTAGCCTCAGGTTAAAGCATTTTTTCTTTCATGAGAGAGACATTGCACAGAGATCCCTGGGAACTGTGCACAGACCACTGGCAGCATTTGATCTGAATTATGTAGTATTTTAAATATGAAAAGAAACTTTAGCATGACACCATTACAGAATAATAATAATATTGAAGCTTTTTAACAAATAACATTTACATTTGTAGGCTTTCCTATATATCAGTTTCTCTGTTCTTGAGGGACTGTAAGTACTTGGGAGAATGGACCAGTTATTTTTGGTCCTACAGCATCTCAAAGCAAACTACAGAGAAAGTTAAATAGTAAAGCATATTAGGAGTTTCTAAAAATGTGTAAAGTATGCTGGAAAAACTGATTATTGGGAAATTTTCTTCTCTTTTTACTCAAAATCTCTTTTTCATTCCTAAAGAAACTGAAGTGAGCACTAAGATGAACCTTCATCTTTCTCTCACCATGCTTTGCTGTGTGTTGTCATAGAGGGACCAGAAATTTAGAATGAAGAAACATGACACAAATTCATTTCTCCTAGGTCCTGTAGAAATTCTGTGATCTTTGAGTAATCTCTTCACAAATATTTCTGTCTCTAGAAGGGCTCTACAAGTGTAACACACTCAAGTGTTGCTACTGCATTTCAGCATTTTTTCACATTAAAAAAAACCTCCAATATGGGCCTGACTAACTGTGCTCAACATTTAACATCTCATAGAGGGCAGCAGCCTGCTCCTGCAGTTCATGCTCAAAATTCCTATCAGCATAAAGAGCAAAGGATCAGGTCAAGAACTTCAGTATACTCCCATATTTTGCCTTGATTCTGTCAAAAACATCCTCTGGAAAGTAATTTAACATAACACATTAATTATTTTGCAGCACACTGCACAGATTCTAGAAGTTCCTCATGTACTACCTGCTTAGGAAATGACCAAAGTACTTGAATACTGCAGAACGTCCTTATATTTAACTTTTGTTCATATATAATTCTGCTGTATAACTCTCCCTGTAAAACACAGCATGAGGATTCCCAGTAGGGACATTTATATCATGCTATGAAGATGTAGAACACCATACAAATAATTATGGAAGCTAGCCCACACACCCGTCACAGTATGATAAGAAACACCACATAGATTTGCAGGTTATGTACAGAAATTCCAACTAATGTTTCTACCCAAGGTGAAGTGAATGCTCCTCAACTACCACGTCACTGCAACTCTGTAAAGGACATTACACAGATATTGAAACAGCTCTACAAACAATGTCATATTTGAAGTAGCTATCCCTGACCCCCAGAAAACCCAAAAACAAAACAAAGGGGAAGATGTAACTATAATTTTTACACAAATAAGTTTCTAGTATTTCAGGAATTAATTTTTTTTTTCTGAGCTAACAGGATTTGAATACCATTCAGTAGTCTCTACTAGTGCAATATCAGTAGCTTGTTTCTTTTGTTATGTTGTTGTTGCTAAGAAAAGAAACCTGCATTGGTTCTTTGTCCAAGGAAGAGCGAGATCCAAATGTGTGAGAAAAAGGTTTCATCTCCAGTTTATAATTCCACTTGAGTTTACATTATCATGTAGATATCCATATCAAAATTTTTAAGAAATCTATCTTTTTCACTAAAATTTACAGTGTTTCCTAAACAGATATTGCATCTGTTTTTCTAGAATAATTAATTTCATACAATGATATATATATATGATACTTTTCAAAGTATCACCAATCTATAATCACTAGCCCTACTTTGCTCCTGTTATTAAAGGACAGATGCCATCTAGATATTTGGGATATCTTCCTCAGAAAATTATTTTAATCATCTTCTCAAATATTACATTTTATGGTTGTACAGTTCTTCCATCGATAGAATTGTAGAATTGCCGTTCATTAAATCAAAATTGTTTTGACAATGTTTGCAATACTTAATTTATATGAAATAACAATGAATTCTCCTAATTCTACCTCTTTCATTCCTTCCTTGATCATCTTTTTCTCTTATAATTCTACTTTGCCATCGGGATATTCATCAATATTATTTACAAAATTGTATATAAATTTGGCAGTAAGCACTTGTCTGCAAGTAAAGATGAGTTAGAAGGAACGGCGAGGTGAGTCACAGAACCATAGAATATTTTGGGTTGGAAGGGACCTTAAAGATCATAAACTGCAATCCCCATCTTGGGAAGGCACACTTTTCAGGAGATCAGGTTGCTCAGATCCAGTCCTATGGTATGTTCTTAGAAAATGACACCATTACTTCTGATAACAGAATTTAGTGATGTTCTAAAATGCAGTCTCTCACACACACAAAAATATAGAAAAGAGAAGAAAAATCCTACAACATTACGGAGGTAAACCAGATGCAAAACAGTTGACACCTTTTAAGAACCAAACCACACCCTGAGCATGATGCCAAAGCAGTAGATAGCCTGAAGACACAGACTGATGAGAACAAAGGATCTCTGAAGCCCTTGTGAAACACTTGCATCAATGCAATTCCACCACCACAGAACCAAAAGCTTCATTCCTCTATGAAACATGAAATGAAAGTCACCCTATGTGAACGGTATGCTGTAGGGACTCTAAAATTCTTCCTGCTGCAGGATGGAAAGAGGACAGAGATTCTCACATACTTTGGACATTTGAGAGACACCTTGCATCCGTGTACACTGGCTCTCAATACTTCTGGCTGGACAAAGGCAACTACACACTGTCTGTTGACCAGCTATAAATGAAAAGATGCTGTTGAGACCACTACCACAAAGCAGACACCTCCATTTCAGGTCCACCCTTCTTGAATCCTTTTCTTCATTTAATCTTTTCCTTCCTTTTTTTTTTTTTTTCCCTGATGACAAGACAAAAGAAACACACAGAGCAGTAGTGAGATAGTAATTCTCAATGTTGATTTACAATGCTGGATGCACACTGCTAAAACTTAAGTTACCATGACAAAGGTAGGTAAGACTGCTAATCATTGTCCCTTATTGTTATTGACCTCCAGTCAGATACATCATCCTGTTCCACTTGCAAAACTAAACAGACACACAGAATAAAGTGTGTACAAGCACAGAATTAGCAACTGAAGTCACACTCTGGAAGCTGGCTGAAAAAAACCACTCCCTTTATTCGAAAAAGTAACTCGGCTGCCATCCTATCAACACATTCTCTGAAATACCTTCAGAGAGGATGTACACTCAGAACAATTAATAGGCTTTTAAGCACAATTGATGAACAAAATCTTTGAGGATCCTCACCCTCTTATCTCTCTTTTCCACAACAGAAAAAAAAAATCAAGAAATCCTTGACTTGATCCAGTAGTCACCACATCAGGATATTAAAATGCTCAAACCTGTAAGATGTTGCAAGTCAACTCAAGCTACTGCAACCTACAATCAAAACTAACCCACAAAGCTTAAAAAAATCACCTTCTAGATATAAGACACCATCTGTAACTACTGAGATCCTTGGCTGGGAGCTGATGACACATGCTTTTGTCACCTAAACCATGGCAACTGAGGTTCAAAGCCTGGATTCTAGGCATCTAGAAGTGTACATTTCCTTCACACAGATAGCTCATTTCTCAAATCCTTGGTTTCCCCACCATAAGAAATCAGAAGATGAAGAACCTCTTTAGTTAGCTAAAGGTGATGCTAAATTTTCAAAAAGAGAGAAACAACTGGAACGAATGACATTCATTGAAATGCCACCAATACAGGGCATCAAGCAGCAAGAGATCAGAAATTATTCATATACAAAGGCCAAAGAAAAAGCTACACAGGCAACTATTTAAAAATGGCTTTCATCTAGCCAGAAGACACTGGAGAGATGCATAAAGTCAAATTTACTTGGAAAGCCAGATTATGAATATACTAGCTGCCATCATTATGGTTTCTTGAGCAGATTTTCAAATGGCACAGGCAATTCTTTAAGAAACACAGAGATACAGAAAAGAAGAAATACACTGTGTGATATCAAAGCAGTGCAAAGTGTTTCTACAATCTGCCAACTAGACAAGTTAAGAAGGCCAAAGTCAGCATCAGCATCTGTCTTCCAATTAGAGAGCCACAAATGACATATTGCTCAGTGACAAATGATGACTGCTGTCTTATATTAAGATGGTTGCTTTAGCAGATGTTTTCAAATTATCCCAAGATATGTCACAGGGAAAGGCAAAAGAGCTGGAAATATGCCCAGAGAGACCTGGTGCACCAGCAGCCTAAGGGAGCCATTTAAAAAGCCATTTGGTTGGTATCCTCTCATGAGAGCAAAAACCGAGAACAGAAAGGAGAATGGAAATAGAAA